GAGGGAGGATGACCTGTCTGGAGGATGGATGTCCAATCCAGAGGGTGGATGTCCCCTCTGGAGGATGGATGCCCCCTCCAGAGGGTGGATGTCCTCTCTGGAGGGAGGATGTCCTATCCAGAGGATGGGTGTCCCCTCCAGAGGGTGGGTGTGCTGTCTGGAGCGTGCATGTCCCCTCTGGAGGATAGATGTCCCTTCTGGGGGATGGATGCCCCATGTGGAGGGTAGATGTGCTGTCTGGAGTGTGGATGTCCCCTCCAGAGGGTGGATCTTGGCAACCCCATGGGATTAAAAGGAACAAACAGACCTAAAAGCAGGAGGTTCAGCAGGCTGATGGCCCAAGGAGCTCGGCTATACCGCACGAATCTGCTAAAAATGTGCCCTTTAGCTGAACTTGGCCAATTCCAGGCTGGAGGTGGTTGAGGCACCATCCCTGGAGATGTTCAAAAGACGGGTTGATGTAGTGCTGGGAGATATGGTTTCTTTTTGTTTGTTGTGTGGGTGTTTATTTTTGTCAAAATTAGGTTGACGGTTGGACAAGATGATCTTTAAGGTCCCTCCCAACCTAGAAGATTCTGTGATGTCCCGTTCTGAGGATTGATGTCCCCTCCAGAGGGTGGATGTCCCATCTGGAATGTGGATGTCCTGTCTAGAGGGATCACAGAATCTTCATGGTTGTGCCATCCAGATGATGGATGTCCCCTCTGGAGGGTGGATGTCCCCTCTCTGCACGGCGTGGTGACCCCAGCGCAGGTGGGAGAGGTCTGGGAGAAGCCGGGAGGTGGCTGGTCTCCTCCCGTGGTGTCCCCATGATGGTGGGGCACAGGGGACACGTGTCCCACCGTGGCTGGGAGCAGGGAGTGGGGCTGCAGCTGTAGCCCAGGAAGGACCCCCAAGCCTTTGGCAATCGTTCAGGAAAGGAGCTTAATCTCCTCTCGTCTAAACCCGGGTGTCTCTGCCTGCAACAGCCCCGTGATGGTGCCTTTCATACCGGATCACGGCGTAGCGTGAAGATGGCAAAAAAAATATAAAAATATATCCAGGTTGTCAGCAAAAAAAAGGCCTTTTCTGAGGGTTTTTTTTTTTTGCCGGATCAGTGTTTTCTGAGGCTTTTGGATTACAGGCATCAAGGCCTTTCTCTTTTAATCTGAATTAAGGTTCTATTAGTAAAACGCAGCACTCTGCCATGCTCTAGCCTCACCTGTTTCTGTCATAAAGGAAAGATAAAATAGCTTTTTCTGAAACAAACATTTAAGTGAAATTCACCCGGTTTTCATTTCAAAAAGCAAAACTTCAGGCTTGCAATAGAAACGATGCTTTTTTTTTCCAAGAGGGGTAATAGCAGATCCATATGGACGTTACTTTGTCATCGCTCGTGTGGATTTTCTCCCTTACCCAGCTTTTAATTCTTTGGCTACTTATTCACATTTTGGAGGCAGGTTTTACTAGCCAGTGACTTTTTTTTAAAGAATTGTTAGAAAGAAGCCAGGATCGTGGGCAACGACGAGAAAAGGAAAACAGTTGGAATCTCTCAAAAATCCAGCTGCCCGGCTCAGTCTGGGAACGGATTGTGGTTGGTTTGAGCTCAAATTATTAAGGCTGGAGTGGCAAATTCCACGTATTTGGTAGCTTTGTTATAAAAGGTGTAAACTCCATGGGTACAGAGAGAACCTGCCTGCGGGGTTTAGAGGGATGAGTTCGGAGATGGGCATCACCTGCTGCCCTCTTCTCTGCCTCTTCCCTGCCTGTTCCCTGCCTATTCCCTGCCTCTTCCCTGCCTATTCCTGCCTGTTCCCTGCCTCTTCCCTGCCTGCACCCGGTGCACACCACGCAGACCCGGAGTTTGACAAATGCAGCACTTGGCTCTTCAAGCTCATCGTTTCCGAGCCGTAAATATTAACTGGGATGCCTAATCATTCCCGGGGATCCCCAGCCCCGATCCCGAGCCGTGTAATCGATGGCATCGTGCTCTGGAAACGTTTTATCTCTCTCTCTGTTGCAGGCCATTAGCGGCGTGACATGTAGGCTGAACAGTAATAAATGCCCATTGTTCCTTTTACAAGCATCTCGGAATAACTACGTATAGATTTATATATATTTTTAGCTTCGTTTTCCTCCCCGGAGCCCTGGGCGAGGTCCCCTTAACGCACAAACCACCTTTTTTTTTACCTTGGGAAAATCTCTCCATCCCGTAGCAGACAAAAGAGGGGGCTTTTCTCTGCTTTGGGTGATTTGTTTGGGGTTTTTTTTTTTTGTCTTTAAGAGAGTGGAGAAATGAGTCTGTGACAGCGCGGTGAAAAATTTTCGGATGCGTTTTTTCACAACAAATTAATCTTTGTTGTGGGAAAAGCTGGTGAGAAGACAGGACTTGGGTCGAATTAGTGGATGGGAGACACGTGGCACTAACGAAGAGGGCACTTTGGGGTCAGGACCTGGTCACCCAATGGCTCCTCGGGTCCCCAGTGTCCCCAGTGCCCTTCCACTGGTGGGGCTGGGGCATCAGAAGGTGCAACTGGTGGTGAGGAGAAGCTCTTGGTGGCGAGCGGAACAAAAGCCTTGAAGATGGGCACATAGGTTTCCTTCTGATATAATAATAATAATACAAGTTTGGGGTTTTTTTTTTTTTTTTCTGTAGAAACCTCTGCATCTTTTTATAGAGAAAAATGTTTGGATGAAAAAACAAAAACAACATAGGGTATGTGTACGTTTTCTGCTCCTAAAGTGAATCTTGTTTAATCTAAAATAGTTTGCAAACGCTGTCTTTTATACGTTTGTTGTTTTTTGGGTTTGTTTTTTTTTTAATTTTTTTTTTGAAGTCAAACGAACTGTAGGAGGCTGGGTATAGGAATTCATACAGCTGATGGCTCTAAGTCTTTCAGACTCCCCGACATATGGATAAAGCAGGCACAGATTTAGCAGGTCTGTCTTTATGTTAAAACGTATACGTGATAAAAATATATGACTGCAGAGAATTTCTGTGGCGAGCACTGCTTCATTCGGAAATGCTCCGAGACTTTCACTAAAATTCCGTTTATTTTCAGCAGATATTCACAATGAATCGATAACCCTTTTTATTTTTTTATTTTTTTTTTTATGCCGAGAGTTTGTGGGGTTTTTTTTTTTGCATCTATTTCCCTGCCATTATGCAATAGGCTCCCAAGCATTTTTTGCCGGGTGCAGGTGTTGTTTATTAAAAGGAGCATAGTCATTGCAGGTGTATATTAGACATTAGCTGAACGTAAAGATATTAGGGGGAAAAAAGCACCTTCTGACTGGCATTTTTCTCTTCTTTCTGCCTCGGAGCAGACGTCGGGCTGCGAACCACAGAGGGGTTGCACCCCCAGTCGCTCCCAGCCCCTGTGTCCATCCATCCCTCCTCCACGATTCTCCTTCAGCCTCTCTGGGGGGAAAAAAAAAAGAAAAGAGAGAGAGAAAAAAAAGGGAAGTAAAAAAAAAAGAGAGAGAGAAAAAAAAGGGAAGAAAAAAAAAAAAGAGGAATATAGTTTTCTAGAATCAAAAGTTATCTTGAAATGTTTTTAGAAGGTATAGTCAAGGAGTAAGGATGTTTTAATTTCTGATTTTCCAGCTCATGGGTCATATTTGACCAACTGCTTTCAGCAGAAGACATGCCACTTTGTTGAGCTATTTAGGAATCAAAAAGACTGTCTTAATTTAAAACAAGGAGCCTTTGTTTTAGTTGGTGACTGCCTTGTGAAATTTTTCAGTTCTCAGCGGGTTAACCAGGGAACAGGGGCAGAGTCATAATTGGCCTATTTAGAGTATTTTGCATGTGAATAGTGTGTTAGTGAAGCATTACTAAGTCTGTTGTGAGTGACATGGTGATTAGAATTTAGATTAGGGAAAACACATTCTGTACTTTATCAAGTACAGTAATTAGTTCAGTCAGTAAAAGTTGATTACAAGTAACGATAAAGTTAGATTTTTGGTACTTAATTTTAAAATTTCTTTATTAAATGGTAAATTTGTTCTTAATATAAATGGTAGTATCTACACCTGTTTTATTGCGTATCAGAATAATTAAAAGAACAATGTGTTCAATGCAGAGTATAATCAGGGGATTTATATATTATGGGTAAGTTTCACCGTAGTTTATAGCAAATAGAGGATTACTCAGGAAATTGTTCTGCTGTCATAGTCTCTTCAAGATTGATAATTTTTCTTACGGCACGGGTCAGATCATGTTTGCTGCTCTTTCCTGGGAACCCTAGTCCTTTCGTAGCCGAGAAAAACGTTGCGTTTACTGGGATGCATCTTATTAGTTGATGGTACGGGCATAAAATGGATATATTGAAAGTGCTGGTTGCTACTGCTGCTGCTCTACAATAGCCTGAATTGTTTGGGGGGGTTCGGAGGTGCTTTGGTTTTTTTTGTTTGTTCCTGACGGCGCTGCAAAAAACCAAAATATGAATAACGTATCGTTTTATTTTCACGTTTTAATCCCGTGTTCCATACTTACAGCCTGCTGGGCAGATTTTTCCAGCCCGAGAGAGCTGATGTGTTTGATTCGCAGCGATGAATTTCTCCTTGCACGGGGGGTAGACAATGAGCCTGTTTCACGCACACTGCACCAACCGCTCCGTCAACAGCAGGATTTACTCTTTTTATTTTGTAAAGTTTTATTATTGTGAAATCCGTGCCCTTCGCTTGTTTGCAAGGAAGGAGCTAAATTACCTTCAGCTATATTAACAGAGCTCCAAAAGTTTTAAAAACACTGATTGCATTTGAATAAGTAGGCAATAAGTCTCCTTTCCATGTAAATAATGGTATTTTAAAGGAATTAGTTTGGCGAGTAAGGGAGAAGGATGCTCAACTGGAAATTGTTGTCATGTCTCCTTTAAAATTTTGGCAGGTTCTGGTTTCAGCCGCTCCGGGAAGGTTTCTTTGCCCGCGTTATTTTTAGGGCTGAGAAACAGCTAATGATGAGGAAAGTGGGGTTTAACATGCACGCGCACACACGTCTCTATTTTTCATCTTTTTAGCAAAGTCTCCTCGGAGGTGAGATGGATATTGGCAACCCCGGAGCGCTCTCCCCCACCAAGCCCGGCTCCCAGTACTATCAGTATTCTAGCAATAACCCCCGGCGGAGGCCTCTCCACAGCACCTCTATGGGTGAGTGACTTTGTCTTCAACCTTTTCTTTTGGGGCTTGTGGGGTTTTTTGTGGGGTTTTATCCCCCCCCCCGCTCATCGCAACAAATAATTGGAGTTTGGGCCTGTTTAGCCCTACTTTGAAATAAATACAATAAGTGGCGGGGCGCTCGCCGCCGGGACTCTCGGAGGGGTTTGTTTGAGGGTAGCTGATTGCTCCTCTCGCTCTTCTTTGTCCAGCGTGCGAGGAGCCTTAAAAAAAGTGCTTTTTCAAAGCAAAAAGAAAAAAAAAAAACCCTAAGACTCGAGATGAAAATATGAACGATTTTCCTGTGGGGCTTAAGAGCGGTGGCATCTGCCCGGTGTTACCAAAACAAGGCTGGTGATGAGCAGGGGGGGTGTAGAAAATCTCGGGTTATAAAAAAAAAAAAGGGGGGAGAGGGGGGGAATTAAAAAAGGGGGAAAACAAACAAAAAAAAAAGCCTGTCTTATGAAGACACCGTTTTGTCTTTTTTTTCAGAAGTACAAACAAAGAAAGTTCGCAAAGTTCCTCCAGGTTTGCCATCTTCAGTAAGTACCACTCGTCTGCTCCTCGCAAATCTCGGGTTAAAAAAAAAAAAAAGGGGGGGGAGGGGGGGAATTAAAAAAGGGGGAAAACAAACAAAAAAAAAAGCCTGTCTTATGAAGACACCGTTTTGTCTTTTTTTTCAGAAGTACAAACAAAGAAAGTTCGCAAAGTTCCTCCAGGTTTGCCATCTTCAGTAAGTACCACTCGTCTGCTCCTCGCTTGCGGTCGCGGCGGCTTTGTTCGGTTGCAGGCAGATAGATGGGGGCTGGGGACAAGGTAAGGAGAGTTTAAAAAAAAAAAAACAACCAAAAACCTCATGGCTCGTCCCGACTTTACGTGATTAATTACCCGGAGGGGACGAGCGTGTGTTGCTCATGTGGCTTTTGGGTGGCAGATGCCAAAGGGCGGGCGGGCAGCGTGTACCTGCGCGGGGCCGGCATCCCTTCCACGTGCCGCTCTCCCGCCTCGGGCTGATGGTGATTTATGGATTCGTGTGTGTTCGGAGAGGATTTCTGAGGAATTTCCCCCAATCCCGGTCCAGGATAGGTGGGAAACATCTTCATTTTGCTGGGAGGTCCCCTGCGCTCCGGTACCTCCGGGTTGACTCCAGGTGTCAACCGCTGGGAGCCAGCTGCTGCCGGGGCACCGGGGCCAGGCATCGCCCAGCGCTTCCCCGAGGCTTTAAAAATATCCCTGATGTTTTAAAATAAATATGAAATAATCCGTAAGCCTTTGTAAGGAGGGTTACAGATGCCACCCGGCGCATTTTTCAGTGTTTATCGTCGAATCTTGGCATCCTGGAGTCAGAAGTTGGTGTTTCTCGTTGGTTCGGTGAAGTCCTTTGTTTCGGCATCCAAATAATTAGTCTCTTAGTTTTCATTCTCTTATCATTTTACCAAATCTTGGTGTTTTTTTTTTCCTCCTATCGAGGTGCACTGCGTCTTTTGAGAGCATTACTTTTTAAATCCGTTAAAATACGTAGAAAATAGCAGTCTTAAAAGAAATTCTATGACACTTCAGTAAACGCGGCGTAAAGAGTAGGATGGCGAAAGAGTGATTTGATTCTAGGATTTTTATTCCAATTTTATCTCTGCCCTGACTTCAAAAATACATATTTTGGGGTCAATATCTGCAACCACTCAAGAGGGGAGAGCTTCCCTTTCGTGCCTGATCCCTGGATCTGCTTTATCTGGAAATGTGGTTATTAGGAGGAGCTGAGTGGCCATCAGTCTTGCCCAATATATAACAAATTGGCATCTTAATCTCCCCTGGGTTTTCGGTTTTTACCATAAATCCACGTAAAATTGCAGTTTGCAAACTAACCTACTTTAAAAGCTTCAGTTATTATAGGGACTGTGATTAACAGGAGTTTCATTACCGGTCACTTTATAAATAATAAGAGCAAAACACATACGAACATCCTAATTTAATCGCAGGGATTATTGTAATCTTTATAACGTTAAACAAATACGAACATCAATCTTTTTTGGGGAAGTTGTTGAAAAATGGCAATTCTCAACAGCGAGTTTCCAGTGAAGTAATAAGACTATTTTTTTTTAATTAAAAGTAAGTTCCCACAGGTGCATTTTAAATTTATTTCACTATGTGTTTTTTGGTTTGGGTTTTTATTGGACTCCTTTACAGCAATAGCTAATATCCTCCCCAAAGGCTTTTAGGAGGACTATTATGCTTGAAGTTTGAGGTGGATTTAATTTCGATGAAACTTTAGCTTTTAATAGTTTTTCTCCGTGATGTCTCCCTCCCAGCTCCGTCCAGCCGGAGGCGCGGGATGCTCCTGGCACCAGCTGGGAACCAGTTCAATCCCAGGGATTATACTGGGAATTTCTTTAGTCATTTCTAGGCGGGGGAAAAAAAACCAAAACCACCCCAAAAATGTATTTTTTGATGATTTATAATATTTCTCTGCGGGGAGGTGATCATCAGCCATTCACAGGGATATTTATATTTTTGCGCCGGTGTTGGAGAAGATGCTTGGGTGGGATGGTTTTTTTTAATAAAAAAGGTTTTTTTTATGGATTGCTTCTCGCCCCCAAAGAATGAAAGGCAATTTGTGTTTGTCGCAGATTAGTCTCAAATGTGTGCCTCCTTTAATTTTTTTTTCCTGAATGCAGTTTGTTGTAGGGAATGGAAAGACTTCTGCAGCTCAATACTCTCAACTAGTTGAATGGTATTTGTATTTTGAAGGCGAATTATCTCCAAGTAGAATGTGCACTTTAAATGCTCCAAATTATTTTAATGAGCTGTCCAATTTATTAGAAAATAAACTATAAAAAGGTATTCCCGAATATTTTAATGACCCGTAGCTCTTTCTTCCAAGAATAAGTAAATTAAAAATGCAAGTCCAGTGACGTGAGTACAAGAATAGTGCCGTTCTGAAGGAAATACAGCCTTCTTAATCTATAGATGGGTCTTAATGACCCGTAGCTCTTTCTTCCAAGAATAAATAAATTAAAAATGCAAGTCCGGTGACGTGAGTACAAGAATAGTGCTGTTCTGAAGGAAATACAGCCTTTTTAAAGTGAATCTATAGATGGGTCTCGTTGTCTTCCTATATCATGAATTATACGTTTCATTTGAGATGCTGCTGCTTTGGAAAAGGCACCTGCCTGTCTCAAAGAGAAGGAATCTCTTCCAAAAGGTCAGGTGAGCTGCAGGTTGTGTGGCACTGAGCTGCCGGGATTTATGACGCTGAATGAAGTCTGCGCATTTCGAAATTGACTAACTAGATTATAAATACTTAGTTGATAGGGTGGAAATATTGCCGTATTTCTCTTAAAATATGTATATTAACCTGTTCTCAGCGTGATTTATGCGGTGGATATGGAGATTAATGCAGCAGGGTTTGTGAAAGCCGTTATTGTTGATTAATTCATAAGTAGCCTTATAAAAATTTCAATGATAAATGGTAATAAATATATTGTATCAGCCCCCCCTTTGTTATAAGAAATGGCTACGAGTTTGGAAAACAAAGTGAATTAAACTATGGGAATAATCAGAGTCCCCCCTGACTGTACCTGCTCCTGGGGCACACATGGCCTCACCGTGTCCTGGGCTCCTGTCCATGACACAACGCAACCTCCGGTACCGCCTTGGACTTACAGGCTCTATAGGTGGTCTCTTTACTGGGACCATCAGGGTATTTTGGATTGAGCCAACTGGACATGACTATATTGGGGAAAAATGAGATTTTTCTGTTAAAACTTGTCTTCCGTGTTGAGTGCCAACTTGCCTTTACCGAGCTATGACACAAGGTTTTGTCCCCAGGCTGGTGCAATCCAGGTGGCTTCTCTGTGCCGTCACCTCCTCACCCTTAACATCATCCTGAGGTTTTGCTCTTCTTGGAATCTTTAACGTGAAGCCTTCATCCCTTTTGGCTGCTGATGGTTTCATCACATCTGGCCTTTTACGTTGTTTGCCAAGTGATGTGACATTTTCTGCCTGTCTCGTCTTGACCAGTAAGAGTCAGGAATGAGCAAGCTGTGCTGGTACGTGTGGTTGGAAGCCTCCGTGAAGGAACGGGGCATGGAATGGGAAGCCTTTGCGGGGGAAAAGGGAGCAAAGAGAGTAGGGCTGAGGTTGTAGAGGTCATTGTTTGAGTGGTGTTTTGCTGGAAATTTGTGTCATGCTGACTTTGGGAAGTCCAGCACAGTGGCACTTCGGCGGGGAAGTGGTGTCTATCCAGGTGTTGATGTCCAACACGTAGCTCCTGATACAAAGCAATCCCTTAAGGACAAAAAGAAAGCTCAGAAATGAAGCCTTCATGGAGAGCTTAGGATGCTGGTCATCCAGGAGAGTGGTCCAAGTGTTCCTTTGGCTCTCGTGGAGCAGGATTGCTGCTCTGAGGATGCTGATGGGTGCATGAGCCCAGCCAGGGCCATCTGCAGGCTTTCTGCTGCTCAAGTTGCTTTTCTTCATGGCCCAGCTTTCCAGGAGCGTGCCTGGATCTCATAAATCGCTCAACTCACGCATTTCCTCCATCATCAGTGCTTTTTTGTTTCAATACAACTGCCATCTAGGAAAGGTGCTACCAAGTAGAGCCGTTATCACACAGTATATTCCATTTCATGGAGAGCTTAGGATGCTGGTCATCCAGGAGAGTGGTCCAAGTGTTCCTTTGGCTCTCGTGGAGCAGGATTGCTGCTCTGAGGATGCTGATGGGTGCATGAGCCCAGCCAGGGCCATCTGCAGGCTTTCTGCTGCTCAAGTTGCTTTTCTTCATGGCCCAGCTTTCCAGGAGCGTGCCTGGATCTCATAAATTGCTCAAGTCACACATTTCCTCCATCATCAGTGCTTTTTTGTTTCAATACAACTGCCATCTAGGAAAGGTGCTAGCAAGTAGAGCCCTTATCACACAGTATATTCCATTTTCCTTCCCCATGGACACTCCTTCCTTTCTAACAGCACCAAGGCCTCCTGCTCCCTCACTCCACCGGAAGAGCAGATGGTTGCAGTTGTCTGATCCCCGTTTATGGCAGACCCAGGAGCTGTCACCGAAACCCCACGGCCTGGAGAGGTTGAGCTGCTGGATTGTCCCCTCATCCTGGTGCTAGAGGGTGTCGGCAGCACCCACAGCTCAGCCACCATGTGGGAACAGCCCATCCAGCATTCCCTCATCTGCTGCTGGAGCATCTAAAGGAGCTCAGTGATGGAACCTCATGGTTGGGAATGGAGTTATGGCCATAAACACCAGGTTTTGCTAACGCGAGGCTGGCTATGGGGTGCTTTAAGGTGGGGGGGTTCATGTTATAGTAAGAGATCCTGGGACCTCGTGGAGGCGTTTCACCCCATCCTTGTTTCCTCATGTCTCCTTGAGGAGAGTATGGAGAAAGCATCAAAGCCATTGCTGTAAAAGCAGTGGTGGCCCAGCCCCGGTGTGGCAGAGACCATGGCTTCAGCCAGCGGTCACGGTCACCTCTTTCTGGTGTCCAAGGTTAATTTACTCTTAATAGAGCCAACAGCCTTAAAATAAATAAAAAGGCTT